GATCCAAGCCTTCCATCAATCCGGGATCTTTTGAAGACAAACTGTACACTCATAACCGTGGACCTAGTCCGAGCCGCGTGTGGGGAGAATGGATCCGCAGGAGCAGTAGCGCGCCATTTTCCAGCGCAACAGTGACGAGGAAATAGGGCTGAGAGGAAGTGAAACCCCTGGTGCTAACTCCATACTCCGCCTCGCGCTGGTCGCGGCAAACCAAGCACCTCCCATAGCGAAAGGCGCTACTTTTCCGCGCCCTCTCGCTTCTGGTTGTTCCCTACCTCAAAACACGAGATTCGTTGCGGGACCTTGGCACCGACGCAAGTGCTGCACTTTGAAGACAGTGCGGGCGAGTATGGAGACGACATTCGGATATTAGTAGCCTACAGCCCCGTTCCCGAGCACTTTTGAGCCAATCAAGTGGCACGCTACTGCATCTGAGGAGCCATTTCGCTTCGCACATTGGAAGACACGTCTTCAGAGGTGAGGTGTCCAGTTTGTCTGTAATTGCACGTGACATGACAGTTCAGGTCGGCTAGCCCTCGCGAGTAACTATGGATCTAACTGAACTGAAATTATGATTTCAAAAGCAAGTAATATTTGGGGCGCACTGTGAAAGGCAAGGTCGAAAGGCTCGGTCTGTAAACTTGCGACTACCGGTCATTCATCATATTAAGTTAAAAGCCAAGCCTATGAGGTGGCTGGACAGGGACACGGTATTTGCACGGCTCCCGAACCCCACCAGAGTAATCGTTTGAATGGCTATGCCTTTCTGTATGTAAATGGAAAGTGGGACACATTTCAACGCATCAGCTGACTAATTGTCTCTCCATTTTTTTTTCATCCGCTTACACGAATTACATACGTTGTCTCCATCACAATTCACTTGTGCTCCGGCATCACATAGCATTTCAGCAATCTTCGTGTCCACCATGTCATACATAGCCACTAGCATCAATGCTGTCCTGTTATCGTCATCGAGAGCATCCACCTGAAGTTGGAAGGCTTAGTATCCAGCTTGGTAAGAACCAGTATACTTTCAGATCATAACGCACATCTAAGCGCATTTCTTCTTTTTCCAAAAGTGCCGCTACCATAGACGGTGCACAGGCACGAGCAGCAAGATGAAGGCAGGTGGAATTAGTATTGTCGCGAATTGTCGGTGATGCCCCAAGTTCTAGGAGTTTGCGCACAACAGCTACACGACCAGAAGAGACAGCCATGTGCAGCGCAGTATCGCCAGCTGAAAATGACAGCAATTAGGGTTCATTTGGTACTGGACAAAGTCCGAACGTCTTTAGAAAGTTAGCTTCAAGCATTTCAGTGCGCCAGTACGCTTTAAAAACCAGGTAAGGATAATCTTAAGAATATGTGGAATGAAGCATGTGTAAATAGATGGCTCAGATAGAGAATGAGGCAGAGGTGTGTAGCGGCAAGGGCCAACCCGGGGCTGGGGTGAAACTCCGGATCGGCCCTGGCCAGGCCAACCAAGCCTTCTACCCTGCGGAGACGGTGAACTGGCACCAGATTTGGGAGGATAAGGCATTGAATTGTACTTTTGGCTGGCTGCGCAAGTCATTGTATAGGCCACACGGCATTCAGCATAGTGTGGTTCGCTGCGGACGGTTGGGCTGCGCTTGGCGCGGTGCCAAACTCGTTCTACACCAGTTGTTGAAGCGGGCAAGTGACAATACTGTATCATATCCTTCGTATTACTAGTCTTCTACCACTTTTTGTCGCAGACGCTCTTCAACAAGAAGGCAGAGAACGGCTTTGATAGGGTGACACACTCATACTGGCTGACACGCCCTACCGAGTCCGTAATGAAGTGGAAGTGGTGTGGCTATAATGCCAAATAAATTGACTGATCAACGCCGAAGAATTCATTCGTTTCACTTATGGTTGGAAGATGGTTCACTGGTTTACATGGGAATCGCAATACTTACAGTACTTCCGAGAAAAGTGTGCGAATAAAAATTCAGAAAAAATCAGTGGAACTCACAGTCATCGCATAGGTTCAGGTCGGCTCCAGCAGCGTGTAACTTGGCTAGTTCTTCAACTACTTGCTCTTCCGTTTTCGCAGTATTCCTGACCAGCACCATGAGAGCAGTTCGACCATATGGGCCTCTCTGATTTATCCCTTCAGAAGTTGATATAGAAGAGATAGGCGTAGTGGAAGCTGCTTCGACATGGAGTGTAGATGGCTGAGGTTCTATCTTTCTCGGCTTTGCTTGCACACGTACTCTGGAACGAATAAATAGATCCGTTGGAGAAGTATGAACAAGGAGAACCTTCAGCTATAATAACCGTCGAAGCTTTACCTCGGTAAGTCAGGTGACAGCTTATCCTCGAGCAAAGTAACTTGAGATGGATCAAATCGCTTGCGTTTCGCACTTCCAAAGGCAACTAACTGGTGCCGATTGTTTTCTTTGGTGGCTTTCAGACCTTAACAACTCTGCATCCGAATGTTCAAACAAAACTATAAGAAAACCCAGGAGAACTCCTCACTTTCGAACTCCGTGGGTGGCATCCAGACTGGAGCATTTTCCACCACTTTTCGCTTTCTGCTGCTTCTTTGCTGGACAACGAAAATAAGCGCGACTAAAATCATAACAGATATGCAGACAACGACGAATAGAAGTGTAGATTCGAAATAGCCGCGACGACTTCTTGGCTTTCTCGCGACTGCAGAGTAAACCGACATATTCATAGCCTCCGTGAGTTCCTTAAATATTGGGACATCAAAGTGAATATTTGCTCCGCTATAAAAAAAACTGAAAGAGAAAAATTGAAAGAGTTATGGAAAAGAAAGAAGTAACCACCTTCTTATCGGCTTCAATAAAGCTAGCTACCGTTTCAACATCGCCAAAACACTCTCCTGCACATTTAGACACATCCACTTCAATCCATACAAGCACTCCCTCCTTTTCCGTCGAATATGCAGATTTTCTAACATTGTCCCAAATCTGAAGACAAAATTTCACGGAGGATACCGAAAAATTACAAGAAAAAATGAAAAAAAACGAAAAAGAATATTGGACTAGGTGGGTGATAGCCCGTGCTTCTGACATCGGAAATGCTCACAATCGGAAATTTACGCCCCTAAGCTCATAGCTCATGGTATCGCACAACCGATTTAACACCATGTTGTTCGACCAATGCAATAAATAAAGACAGGATCTGGTGACTAACATACAGTATATCCCAGAGATGGGGAGTCCGTGGCTGCGCACTTCATATAAAGGTTGTGACAGCTGCGCTTTTGGAGGAATACTTCAGTCTCAGGCCAGTTGCAGCCATGACTTTGTCCACTACAAGACAGGATAGCATTTATCTCAAACGGAAATACCTCAAAAACCTACGCCAAGGTCAAGTAAAATACGCAGCTCAGCTCATAATACACACCACATCACTCCATCGCTGGGATGTGAAGTGTACTGGCGGTGATGCCATTTCACCAAAAACTCTCAGTTGTCGTTCGGCACATTTGCTGTGGTCGACGATGCCAAAACTCCTGTTTTCGTTTTCAGCAGAAACTCATACTATTGGTTCATTTTGATAGGTTTTCATATTTTCTCTTTGGACAAGTTTCTATCCAGATTTTGGTGCGTCGTATCCGTGAATCTGCTGGCATCGTTATCTGAGTAGTCTGGGATGAGGACTGGTCTAGGTAGCCTTTATAGGACAATATTCCGCCCCGTAGCAAGAGAATCTCAAATTGTCGTTTCGTTTCGGCAATGTATGTGACGTTTCCTTAATTTGCACACTTTCTGTACGGGGGACCGCCCATCGGTCCAACATAAACCGTAGAAGTCTCTTCCTACACTGCGGTCGAAACACGTGTCGGATACTCCAAGAACACCACAACGTAGTGGCATTAGCCCGCCCTTTTCTGCAAGACCACGTGATCCGAATGAGCTGAGTACCCTACTTTTCGAAGTTGACTGGAATCAGACGGAGAAGATGCGGAGTTTGATGAGGAAATTGGTTTCGATAACCACGAGGATGCTGACCACGACATTGCGGAGCTCCGCTGCTGCACCACCTGGAGCACTAATGTTGTTAAGCCTGTTAGACCGGGAAACGGGCAAGAGAACCTTAAATTGTCGCCCCGTCGCGCGCGGCAATGGATGCGGCGTTTCCTTGATTGGCACTGTTTTGATTGGAGCATCGGATCTCGGTAGGCAAGGGTATGGTGGGCACTTATGTCTACTTTAGCCATACATTCCTATTCTCGACCAATACCACCTAAAATCATCGTCATTAGCTGGCGTTACGCCGAAAGTGACGCCCAGTAGAGTGGCGAATTACGATCCTCTTGCCTCACCCTGTCAGACCATCATTTGGACGTGGCCCTTAGCCATTACTGAGTTTGGGGAGGACTTCGTAAGGGAACTTCAATCGAGAAACCCCAAACGGAGGGAACATCATCTGTGCAAGCCTGAAGGGACAGAAAGGAAACCACCCAGACGATGTGTCAGCTGCTACGCATTAGCAAATATTCACGGTGACTCATGCTTGCGAGCATTGGTCCAAAGTCAACACAATTTGTTGTCGCTGTGAAAAAAATTACTGCTTGAGTGTTCTGACAAATACAGCAAAAAGCTGCTCTACCTATTCTCGTATCACGCCATGTGCAGCATTGATTTATATGAAATTAGCTCAGAATACGCAAGAAAAACCACAAAACGCGCCGCAAAAACCGTGCACTATACTCGAGAGTGCCACGCCACCGTCTTGCATTTAGAAAATTGGAAAGTCGGCCCAAACATCCTGCTTATATATCGTTCACAGACTTTGCCTTCTTTCCACGCGAAGACCATGGGGCCAAGATCATCATGTTTGATACGTATATTGGACCTCAGTGATATGCTCAGCGATTGCAAGAAGTGATCTACATTCTCGATAAAGACGTGAGGTTGTGCCAGGACCACTACTGACAGTTCGCCAGATAGCTGTAATTGAGCATTTCTACATGCGCCTGCCCACTTATGAACCATAAGAAAGCGGATCCCTTCACGATTCAAAAGCACATGAAACTTACGATCTTCGTATTCACTTCACAATCTCCGCCATCAAAATCACATTCTTCGCGATTGCACTCATCATCACAAATACCATTGTGCTTTTTTGCTTCGCAATCTTTCGAACACTTGGGCGCTTTAGGAAGACAGTCAAATCCATCGAATAGACATCTTTCGTTGTTGCACCATTGCACGCAAACAGCGTTGTCATTTCAGGTATTGAGTCGCGCTCGCACAAGACATAAAGAAGCTCAAATGTTAACAACTATTCCAATGAAGAGTTTGAGGTGAAGAGCCTTTTCGAAAGTCCGCAATTCAGAATGATAATGGTAAAGAATCTTGACGAGTAGTCGAGATCTCGGAAATAAAAACTTTGACCGCCAGGACTTCTGACCTTACTGCAGCTGAAGAGGTCACTCAGCTTAACAACCTAGTGACAGCCGTGATATTCTCTTTTCTTCACGTGGATGGTTCATGACGATCCACGAACCTGACGCACGGCATCGGCTTGGGGAGCGCAAGAAGGCAGCGTCAAAATCTCGCGATGACGAGCGTTGACGCGCGCCACTGCTGCAGTAGCACTCCAAAAGGAGGCGTCACAAACCTGAGACGCGGCCACACAGCCAGGGACCGGGTGTCGATCGCAGCTTGAGAAGTTGGACAAGGGACAACCGGGGGTAAGACGTTTATTAGTACGCCCATATGCACCCGGCTGCTAAGTGTTCGACGAGAGTAGAGCAAATCATACAGAAAGGAGGTACCGATAATCGTGTGGTGAGTATATGCGCACCCTTCCTGTTCGCCACTACTGTTGCGATCGGTGCCCGCCTACGGCTGCTTTCCCGTTTAGCATCGGAAGGATTGTCGCACTGGTAACGCGTCAACGCGCGGGGATCGCATAGTCTGGAGGCCGTCGGGCAAACCTATCTGCACCGAAAGCGCGGCCGCTCTCACTTGCAGCCCTCCGGGGACATTTCTAGAGTCAACTATGGTAGGCAGTTTGCCGCGTTGCCATCGTAATGTGATGGTTGCCATTTTTAAAACATAGAAGGCGACTATACCTCATCGCATACTCCATCACGGAACACTCGAGAACAGAAATCTGGATATGTACAAGCTTTGAATGGGTTCGTATCCTGAACTGTACAGTCGCCACCATCATATCCGCATTCTGATCGATCACATTCCTTATCACATTGACCATTACCCGCTTTGGTACGGCAATTGCCGCATATCGAAAGAATACCACTAAATATTGAAAGATTAACAAACCAACGTGATAAACGTAATCGTAGAGAGCAATCATTGGTATTATCGTCAAATATAGTATAATTATGCAACAGTTACTTGTTTGTGGTGTTGACCGTCACAATACGACCGAACTCCACTTCCTGACACCGCTGCCCAACAAAACCCGGAGCACATTTACATACGTAACCGTTGACACCGTCTATACAGGAGCCACCGTTGAGACAAGTCCTAAAGTACCAGCCCATAATTTCCTGAGGTTTCAAATTAGCGAACTGAAAAATCCTCTCCGAGATAGAGCCCGACAATGAGCACAGAGTGCGTTGAGACTTTGCGTCAGCGTACTGAGGCGGGCCAGCGTTTAAGCGTCTAGGAGAGCACAGGTTTCTAAAGGTAAGCGTTTGGAGCATAGGCTGAAATGCGCTGACATACGGTCAAAACGTGAGCTGCCGTACGCTCAGAATGCTGACGCAAAATATGAACGCAAACTCACTCCCATCCTTCGCTCACCATGACGAAAATGCCCGCGTGGAGAACTCACCTCGAGGAGCACACCTCGATACGTTCCTCACAGGTCGTGCCCTTGTAGCCACGAGGGCACATACAATAAAAAGTTCCAATCTGGTTCACACATGTGGCGCCATTTAAACATGGAGATGTTAAGCACTCGTCAACGTCCGTTTCACAGAATAATCCTGAAAAACCATAAACTGTAGTGGAAACCGTTGTCTGGAGGTAAAAAAGGAACGGACCTGTAAAGTTAGGCGGGCACTCGCACCTGAATTTGTTCTCAGTTGTATTACAAACACCACCATTGAAACACGTGAGTGGACCATCTACATCACAATTTATCAGCGGTGAACGCCAAATATTACAAGTGGGACCGACGTGGTCGTCTCGACACTTGCACCGGAATGAAGAACCCTGAAAGGCAGTAATTGCAATGTATTTTTTTAATCGCAGACACAGACAGGACCGGTGAGCTTCTTCCGCACGATATTTTTATGTGAAATGTGACACCGCATGGTATACCACTGAGATATTTGGGGCAGTCACTGATTTTAGTTACTACACCTAGTGATTCTTCCCCCCGTCAATACTTCTGAGTTTTTCATACTTCTGGGTCTTTCACCTTTTCTTCCTACCGTAAGCCTTCCTGTCACCATTCAGGGCTGTTTGCCTCAAAATAGCCAACCTCGTCACACAATGAAAGGAAGCCAACCCATCATGGCCGTATTAGATGTGATGTATACTCCTATACCCGGCTTCCAAATCTGCAAAGTGATTCTGGGAACAAACTTAATGGCCTTTTTGCCGGTGCTATACAGTTTCGGCGCTATTGTGGCATCTACCTGGGCTGTTCTGATGGCGCAGCTGGTAGGTGTACCGTTTGACGATGGTAATATCAGGGTTCGAATTTTTGGAGCGTTTTTGCTATTTTTGCTACTTTAAACGCTTTTTTCAACGGTGAAGGCATGCGAGTCACTTTCACGTATCAGCTGGGCCATCCATATGAATCATTCGTTTATGCACTAGGACTGGTTTCTGGATGAAAAATCTGATTTGTTTTCAAAGTGTATGTGTACTAGCGTAGCAGACGGCAGAAGATCTTTCGCGCAAAACGAGTGAAATATCCGTGTTTGGCGGATCAGATTACCCTTGTGAACGAGTTTTAGCCAGTTCTGAAATTTTGATTTCTGTTCTAAAAACTAAGAAGTCATAGGGGAATAGCGAAAGCCAGAGCTCCTAGGGCTAGCTAGTCATCGATAGCCCGACCTTCGGATGGGATTCGGATTGGAACAATAACTAAAGTAGAAGCAGAGCCAAATTGAGATCCCTGGAAATTGCAAGATCAACCTTTCTCGAGTAAAATGTAACTATCTGAATAGGTATGCATTGTAGGTGGATCAGTGAGTGTACTTGGAAACAGAGCAATAAAATCTTGAGCACGACGCGGACAGGCAAGATATGTGTTCTTGTCTTCCAGAAACATGACGAAATCATACAACGATAGGTTTGAAAGAGCGACCAGCCCTCTGACTCCTAGTTGGCGCGGACAGGATAGCCTTTCAGTTTTGGTGGCAGGCAACTAGGGGGGCGTCAGAGCCGCCACTAGTTGTCTGCCACCAAAACGCCTATAGCCCTTTCGTTACTTCCTGTGAAGCCGCGGAAGTGGGACAGCCTTTTAGACTGACAATGAGAACCGGACTACACGGAAGGACGCCTACGAACTGTCTTAGCGCAGGGACAGTCTTCGAGACCAAATCTTAGTGTTGCTTAGAATTTCACTTTTTGAAATTAGAAAGCTGGAAATGCGTGTTATAGGCTTACCATTTTCGGGCATACGTCGAAGTTCATTAATTTTCCCCCTATCTAAAGATACTTGAAAGCTACAGTTAGTACCGCCTGTGCGGTAATGTTTTTTCATCCTATGTTCAACGGGTTTCTCTTATAAAATGTAAAACATGACGAGTATAGAGCAGTCACTCAAGTCAAGAAAAGATTATGACCTCGTAAATAACAGAAGAATAATAAAAAAGTAACCAACCTCTGGAATACAATCCCCGAACTCGCATGCATAGGGATGACAAGGATCTTCGTAACTAGCTGCCGTAGTATATAGAAGCTTTAGAACTAATATCGGTAAGAAGAAATTCATGCTGGCCTATGTCCTGTTGACTGAAAACGATGGAAGGAAAAAATGTCAAAAGCGTTGCCTCGGTACAAGCCCAAATGACCAGGAACATGCATCACGGAAGAAATGAAGGAAGATAATGGAGAATACAAAATAATATAAAGCCAATATAACTGTCACGCAAAAATAAACGCTTCCAAACCGAAAGTTACTGAAGCTCAAATGAGCAGCAGACTACGGACCATCATGAAGCAAATGGCGAACGTTTTTTGCTGTGTAACAAGATCACGCCTCCTAACCTTACACATGACACTGAACTGCTAATTAAAGAGACTCTACATGTGCGATCATTTAGCACCTGGAACCACTGAGAAAGACGCCAGAGGATGGGTCATGAGGTTAGGGACGTGGGAGGCGCATCACTAGAAAGGCCCTTGTGTTTATCTCATGAGAATTTCCAAAGAAAATGAAGAACGAAGACCAAAGATCCAGTGGCCATCCAGCTGTTGCTTAGCTGGTAGACTTTGACCACCAACGACGATTTTAAAATTGTGACAGGTGGAGAAACGCCAGCAATAAGGTGCGTTCCCAGTTCATTTAGTGTGCAAGCGCAGTCTTGAACAAGCTAGTAATGTACGCAAGAACAGAGGCAGCATCACTTGCACAGCTCAAAAATACCCAATAACGACGCCAACCGCTTAACACGAAGGCGGTGCCTCCCCCCCTCGCCCCATACCACACTCATCTCAGATGCTTTTCGATGGTGCAGTTGTTCCGCTACCAGCTCTTTCCATTCTGATCGGTGAAAGCGTGGTGATGAAGGGAAAGCGCTTATACTTGAAAGTGAGAACTAAGGCACAACTATCCTAGCTGCGTGCTCGCGAAAAAATAGGCTGAGCAGCGGAATCTTAATCATAGAATTCCAGGCTTTTGCTGCTCTTTTTCCCTCCACTGAGTCTTACCAACTTGTTACTATTTGAGTCCAATTACCAATCACTTCTGACCGCGTGACGTATTTTAAGAACTGGGTCATTTTTACTAGCTCGAAAAGCTGAGATTCGTAAAAAGGTATCATGGTAGCAATTACAATCCCGAAGCTATGATTCCAAAGGCGAAACAGCAATTCTTCAGAGCTGTACAGGAAAGCTCAACTTTTTCTGTGTAGGACGATACTCTAAGGGACAAGCCTCTTCGATGAAAACAAAGGTTCGTATGAGGAATGGACGAATTGAACCATCTGTGTTTTGAAGTAGTTTCTCAGCACACCTTCTATGTTTTTTCTCAGAAACACCCCGCAGAAGTTGCTGCGAGTCCCATTTTAGCGATTTGCCAATCCGTGAACCAAGATAGGCGAAACGGCGAAGGTGGTTGTGTGAAATGTGTGCGGTATGACAAACGATAGTCACGACTTAGGCTAGGCAAGCTGTCAAGATACGGAACCGGTAAAAAAAGTTTATTACAAGCACATTCTCTTGAAAAAAGACAGACGAAAAGGTAAAACAGATTTTCATTTTTGATGAACACAGAATATAATAACGTGTACATATGCCACATGTATTTCAAATGTGCAAATCTAGGTAACGTAAAAAGATGATATCAGCTGACTACATCGAATTCATATTAGGATGAGTTATGAGTAATCTTCGAATATTTCGAACTCCCGCCAAATTGGAACTTGCCTGGAAAGTTCGCACCAAAGCAGTGAGTAGGGACCTCAGTTACCGACTCCAGAGTCCATGGTCGATGGCTCATCATCGCCCTGTTGTTGCTGCTACTTATTCAGAGTGAACACAGGTTTCAAACATGTACGTAAGAATAGGCAAAGGTTAGCAGTTTCTATGGGAATTCTCTATAAGTAGCAAGAATACACAGCAGAAAATTTTCGGCAAAAGTCTAATTAGCAATTGCAGTGGGTCATCGACTAGCCATTGGGCTGCAGCTGCTCGGCCGAGGAGACTGAATCGCTCGGGGCGAAGTATAGACGCGATTGTTTTTGAGAGTTTCGACCTAAATCCACCGCTTTCTACTTCACAACACGCGCTCAGACATGCACAATTCTGACCAATCGAGAGCGGTCAGTGGAGAAGTGGGAGAAGTGGGTAAACAAACAAGGAATCAGGAATGTTTCATGAGGAATCCCAACGATGATATGTTCTGCTACGTGCGTTCTTTACGATAGGAGAACACATGGCACCAACACCAATCCGCGACTGCATAGATTGATAGAAATCTCGCAAGGATCCAGCTTCCGAAAGTGCCTTTGCTCAACTCCTGCTTCGCCTACCTCGCGCGCTCGACTAAAGGTATCATGTTCTTATGCTCACTTTCTGGAGGACAAGAGTTACGACGATCACGGTACAGCATGGGGATGTGCGAAATGGCGGTGTGAGTACGACCCCCCCCCTCCTGCTCTAACTGACAACCAGATGCATGTTCACCACAAATGGCTTCCTGAAATGGAATCTGGATTTCGAAAGGCGGACTAATGGTGATCATTGATAAGCTAAATTGGTGAAAAAATAGCCCCAAGGTCAGCGTGTCAGGCCCCAGATGTGCATTCAATGAATGGTGACGGGGAAATCATGAAAACATGCACGACACAACAAAGCGAAACATGAAAAATACAAAAAATGCGGAACCAAATGAAAAAAATGGCTAACTAGGCAGCAGTGTATCGTTCTACT